AAAGGAAAAGAAGAAAACATAAATTTAATTAAAATCGAAGAAGAAAAACTGTTATGTCTCAGCTAATGTGACATAAGAATGAAGATAGTCTAGTTTTGCACTAGATGCAAAGTTGACCAATCCAAATGCTAGAGATTTCTTAATGTATATGGAAGTAGTAGTGGGGGGGCTTAGAGAAGAGCCTAGGGTGAGGACTGATGTCATTGGTACATACCATCAGGATACAGGAGCAGTCTTGAAAATGAGTAATTATGCCAGGATAGATTGGAACTGATAGGTTTATTTGGTGAAGTTCATAAACCTAAAAAAATACAGATAAACTAAAAATAAAAAACTGAGTCTTCTCTTAGGTCAAGTCAGTTAACAAAAATCAAAATGTGATAGTATCTTAAGGCTGGAAACATAGTAGGGTCCTAGCCTGTTTACCATGAATTTACAAGCTCAGAATTGCCATGTTTTCTATAGATCCCATAGCTGTAGAGGGTTTATTTGCACAGTTATTTTTCTTACATTGCAAAGCAGTGGAACCTGTGGCATTTAACCACAAATTGAGGCAAAACAATCTTCTGTTGTAACTAATAGATTAAAACTAAGCAGGGCTCTTTAGGAATAGTTGATTGCGTATTTGCTTCAGTGAGATTATTATTTGCAAATTCCAGACAAATCACTTTAAATCAGACCTTAAAACATTGAAAAAGACAGATGAGTTATTTATGAATGAAGAACTGAATAATGGTTCATGTGGAGTTTCCAGGCACCTACTTGGATGTCCCACCAAAGAGGCAAGTCCTGTATGATTCCTTGCCATATATCAATAAATAACCAGGGTTTCTAATTAATAAATAGGAAAATGTAAAAGTAATGAAATGCAATTTTTTTCAAAACGTTTAAAAGTATACCTGGATGAGTTATTTTCCTGCATTTAATCATATGTACCATGCATGTGCCTAGTGCTTACAGAAAATTAAGAGTGCATTGGTTCTTCTAGACTTGGAGTTACAGATGACTGTGAGCCATTGTGTAGGTTCTAGGAACTGAACCCCAATCAGGTACAAGAGCAACAAATGTTCCTTACTACTGAGCCATCTCTCTAGCCCCAGTGATGCCAGGTTTTGGATTTGGTTATTTATATGAGTCATTGTCTGGAAACTGGAAATTGACAGGAGAGAAAGGGAAGGAGATGATAGAAGAAAAAGGGAAGGCAGACACAAAGAAAGATTCAGAGGGAAGGAGGGGAAATAGAGGGAGAGAGAAAGGGAAAGAGGAGATAGGAATAGATGGCTATAGATAGACAGATAGATACATGGATAGAGAGATAGATGATAGATAGATAGATGATAGACAGGTGGGTAGGTGGATAGATGGATAGATAGATGATAGAGAGATAGAAAGGAAGATAGATAGATTATGATTTTTCTGTACTCTTAAAGGTGAATATAGTTTGCAACAGGTCAGGTGACTTTTTGGACCTTCAAATATTCTCTCATAGTAGCCCTCAGACATGCAACCAAAAGCCAATGTATCTTACAGCCACCTACATGATGAGCTCCGTGACATAGTCCTCCAAGCAATCCCTGCAGATGAGAACACAGAGCAATAGGCATTTTGGTCGTGTCTTTGCCAGGCACTGAACAGAGGACTGCACAAACCCTGCCTTCCCTCCTGGCTTGGGGATACCTACCCGCTTACAGCAAAAACTGGATGTCAGAAGATCTAACATGTCAAGTAGGTATACTACTTATCATTTTACACTAAAACCATAACCAGTCAAAAGGCAGTGGGAAAGCTCAGAGAGATAGAGAGAGGAGAGAGAGAGAGAGAGAGAGAGAGAGAGAGAGAGAGAGAGAGAGAGAGAGTGTGTGTGTGTGTGTGTGTGTGTGTGTGTGTGTGTGTGTGTGAGGATGTACTAAAGACTGAAAGATGAGAAACATAATTGAAAGACTGTTTATTACAGTGTAAGTACATACCTTATAAAAGTTATGTATTTAGCATGGATTGAATAGAAAATATATATTATATGCACTTTGCTAAGTGACTCAGGCAGGATGAATGGGACCAAGTTATTCACTACTTCTTTTTAATCAAATGGAATAAAATACCACATAGCTTCTGAACTTGATCTTTGCTTCATTTTCCACACAGGTTAAGCAGTGATCACAAAGATGCTGTCTCAGTAGAACTACAAAATTTAAATCTCCTGTTTCACCTTTCACTGTCCTTCTGGGAATTTTTAGGCAAGGTCCTTAACATACTGCACACTTGAGTGATTTGTTATAACTTTAAGTTTTCAAAATCCTGTCCAGAACTAAACACATTCATTTGGTGATAAAAATCAGTAAAGATGAATGTTGTAAGTACAGTCCATGCAATAGTGTGTATTGTAATTACTAAAATCACTAGGTTTTAATAGATTTTGGTAACCACATTGTACTTTTGATTTTCTTCAATAAGTGCTGTTTTTAACTTCCATGCTAAGAATGTGTGTGTGTGTGTGTGTGTGTGTGTGTGTGTGTGCGCGTGCATGTATGTGTGTGTATTCTGAGATGCATGTAGAAATATCTCAAAAGTGGAAACTCAAATAATAGCCTAATAGATAAAGACAACCAAATTTTAACAAGTAACATTTTAAAACATTAAAAGCCTTGTTTTGATGAAATTACTTTACACTTCATCTTACAAAAATTATGCTAAAGGAAGTGATCAATTTTTGCTTGTAACGGTAGAAAGATGAATCATTTGTCTTCGGAAAGTAACTTTTTTGTATAAAAATAATAGAAGATCTCCATTCACCCTAAAATATCCACCAAGAGCACTGTGATAATTCTTAAAGAGACAAGATTTTAATGCAGCACCACATTTTATTTGAAATCTCAATACATTTCTGTACTCAAAAATACATTAAATCTATATTAGATGCTGTGGTTGGAAGACACAAGAGGGATAGCGTATGTCCAAAACTTGTCATTATAGAATATAATAAAGAAAAACTAAAACCAAATTAACACAAATAATATAAGAAAAAAATAGGTAAATTTTCCTTAGTAGGAGTGTGGATATGACCATAGCTTATAAAGAGGTGCCAAGGATTCTGCTGCTCACTGGTGGAGAAATCAGAGCAAACAACATATGCATAAAAGGGAATTTTATTCTGCACAGCCTGGGATTTTCTATTATAAGTAGATATTCATTGAATGACCTATGACCTTCCAAAGCCAAATTTAACACTTTCATGCCATGATCTATTGTTTCCCTTAGTTAAAGCAAATTCTCTGTGGTCACATCTGTGGTGTGTGTGTATGTGTGTGTGTGTGTGAAGTATGCTGTCTCAGAGACATTGGGGCAAACACTATGATACTGCAAACTTCGTAGAAAATATAAATTTGCTTAAATCACAATGCATATTTATTGTGAACATATTCAACATATCTTCTTATTTATTATGAAAAGATAAGTATGGAACACAACTGGAAAATAGGTATCAAATAATAACTCTAATTTTGGTTTCATGTATGACATATTTAATTGGCCATTTATTTTTGTAATCGATGAAAATATGTCAAATTTCCTCTTAATATCAACACACACCCATTTGTAAGCCCTTTCTAACCAGATATCATTTGAATTTTAAGGTTCTTTCATTAGAGCATTGTTAAAGATAGGTAAACATAAGCCAGAATATACAAATACTAATTTAGTATATTTTAAATGGTGAGAGTATTGGAAATTGACAAAAAGTTCTCTCTATTCTGAAGAATTTTTCACAAAAAAATGAAAGGCTGAGACAAAACACAATGGAAGTTTAAATTACAGCCTTTCCCCAATTAATTAGCTCTCATTACCTGTATAAAGTAGTGCTTTTCCCATAGAATCATTGCTGAAGTTCAGAGGTTCGAGATTTAATCACCACTTCAAAAGTTTGCTGCCTAACTTCCAAAACTATGAAAAAGGTCCACATTTTCCATGACTCAGCAAGATATTTCCCTTAGAACTAAATCATTAAAGAGTATTAACTCCTTGAAAATTAATGGCTAGAAACATCCCTAACTACTTTCTGAGACGTGATTAGATCAGAGCCGGCCATTATTTGTGGATGTGAGGAGCTTCTGGGAATGCTTAAGATTTGGACATCATTAATATGACGCCCTTGGGTAAAGATGAATCAGATATGAGGAATGATTTTGGAGCAGCCATTTTAACATAGATGATGATACACTGAGGGGAAGAATTGAAAAAAAAATAAACTGCACATTGCAGCCTCTTGTCTTACCCACCCAGCCACCACCACACAACCCAACAGCAGTAAATTCTGGTGGTGCTTTGTCAACAAGACTAAAGAACCAAGAATTCAGAGGTGATTGTGATGGTAGTGTGTATTTGGTTGCATTTATTTCTTTTTATTTTGTTTTTCATTTTCATGTGTAAAAGAAGTTCATGTATGTATGTATGTATGTATGTATGTGTGTATGTATGTATGTGTGTATGTATGCGTGTGGGCACACTTGTACATGTGTGCACATACATGTGGCGGTTCAAAGTTGACATGATCTTCATCCTCAGTGGCTATTTCTCTTTATTGAGGCAGGTCTCCCAATTGGATCCAGAGCTTGCCAGTTGTTTAGACTTGATATCCATCATGTGTGGTGATCCCACATCTCTGCTTCCCAAGCCAGGAATTACAGGCCACCACTGTTTTTCCTGGCATTTGCATGGATCTCAGGGATGCCATCTCTGGTCTTCATATTTCTGTGGTAAACACTGTAACTGCTGAGCAAGAACAGTCCCGCTGCTCCACGCATCTTCATTGCACCTGGCCAGATGTTTACATGTGTGACTGGAAGTTTAGGGAGACACTGAGGGAATCTAAGAAGTGCATGGACTCGGATGAGCTTCAACTGATAGTAACTTTGTCCTGGGAATTACAATCTGTGCTTCTTATTTTATCTTGCACTAAAAAATAGAGTCTGTGCTTCGCTGGCCTAGAGAGTAGGCATGGTCTCGACATGTGGAACGATGCCGGAGAGTTCATGGACCTGTACTTGCCACAGAAATGTTCCTCGAACAACCATATGGTTGACATCAAGGATCACGCATCCATCGAAAAGAATGTGGCCAAGGTTGACAGATGCACGGGCCGGTTTAATGGTCAGTTTAAAACCTACGCTATCTATGGGGCCATTCGCAGGATGGGCGAGTCAGATGATTCTATTCTCTGACTGGCTAAGGCTGATGGAATTGTCTCAAAGAACTTTTGAACAGAAGATATGGGGGGATATTTGTCATAAATAAAAGCGAGGAAGTAAAAAATATAGAATAAGCATCTATTACATACATAGCTAATTCTCATAGTTGTATTTGAATTATTTTTACTTCAGTCTTCATTATATTAGTATAGTACAAATATCCTTTATGTGTACATGTCTTTTACAGACCATGTTCATCCTCCTTAGTCAAAGAGACAATATTGACTAAAAAGATGCTTGTGGCCTGCCAGATGACAGCCAGCTAGTTTGATATCAGCTGTCTCTATTTTCAGAATCCCAGTGTCATTATCATTGTCTTTCCTAAATTCTGTTTCCATGAGCACACACTGTGAGAACTTTTAACAAGTTTTAGTAGATTTTCATCTGGAAAATGTTACATCTGTAAGGTGTGCACCATCTGAATGAGGATATGCTGAACACCCAGGATAGACCAGGTAGAAATTCTATGTCTGTAATATGCAAACTATCTGTAAAGACAACATATGAACCTAGGATGGGATTAGTGGAAATTTCAGTTTTATTTTAGTCATTATTTTCTCAAAAAAGTAGTTGTCAGAACTGTAATATACTACTAGAGAGAATGAAATTCTCATATATTCAGAGATTCATTCTTGTCAGTACCAAAACCCCCATTGTAAAGCCAAAATGTACTTTGAGGCAGTCTTTGGCTTTCTGGTTGTTTCTTTTGCCCCAACTGTTAACATATCCTCTAAATTTTGCAACCATGAGGGCATGTTTAAACATGCTACCAAGTCTCCAGGTTCCTCTGCTCCTGAACTGTGTTTATCCATGCCTCTTCTGTGCTTTTGAGGCTTAAAGAGGATTCTAGACAATCTTTTAAATCGGCTCTTGGTAATAATAGCTGCTTGTCTTTTTGAGCAACACTGAGATTGACATAACTTCCCATGAGAGTCCTTACATACTAAAAGCATACATATTGGTCTCACAGAGACAAGTAAGAAAAAAGAGAGAATGTTTGCAAGACACTTCATTTCTGTAGTTATTTCCCAATTTTCCATAATTAATTATAAAGAAGCTTTTCCAGATGAATGTCATGGTTGCCATAGACACTTTCAAGGTTATTATGTCTGTAATCATAACATTCATGGTGTGGTATGTGGAAAAATTGTACTTTTTAAAAGGTAAGTATATCTAAATATGGAAGGAAAATACTAATATATAAAATATAGAAAAAAAAACCGATGGCATAGAAGCTTTTTCTTGAAGATTTTTCTTACCACTTGTATAGGTTTTTTTTGTTATTTTTAAAACCATCTACTATAAACTAAAACATGTGAAATGGTGGAAATATCTAATACTTTGTTGGTATAAACTCAGAAATTTCCCTCAGAGATTAGTGCATTAAAGAGGAAAAATTTCTATTTAATGATATTGAAAGTGGTATTATACAAAAGTGGACAAGCAAAGCAGCTGGCAAATGCACTCAGATTCACGAGGCATTGCTAATTAAAGTGGGAAATACTGCTGGCAGGGCTTAGCCTCTAAAAATCACTTTCCACAGAATCACAGGAGATGCAGACTAATTTTAATCCTCCGAGCTAAGGCTAAAATTGTATCATGCACTATCTTCTGCCCGCCAAGTAATACAGGCCTGGTGAAGGCCATCCAACTGTCATATTAAGCCACTTTAAGTGTAGCTCATGTTTGTAATTTTCCTGTAATCTCATTCTGTGTAGAGCATTCTCAAGCTACAGTAATTAGAATGGAGTAAGTGTCTGGCAATAGTGATTGGTTCATAGAAAAATACAAACAAACAAAATAACTAATAAGAAAGATAATAAGAACAGTCTGATAAGGAAAGTTTTTATTACACTCTTGCAAGGAAGGCAAATATATATACTAAAATGATTTCTTGTTGGTTATTTTCAAAATATGAGTTCTCTACAATGATATAGAAGCAATTGTTTTCTAACACCATCACCTTATGAATGTTGGTAACAGCTTTGATTCTGGGATTACTGCACATGTCATAGATGGAGAATATATTTCTAACATATATCTATGTGTCTGAGTATGTGCTGTTGTACAAATTGCCAAGATACAATTAGTCAAATAATGAATAAATGAGCAGTAATTAAGTGAATATGTGACCTGTAGATTTTGCCTGGTGTCAATAAGACTTAGACCCTTTTGGTTGTTTCCTCTAAGGGTACTGATGAGGAGTTAAGTGTTTCTCTTCAATTGAAACAGTGTGAGGAAAGTTGCACAAGGTATATGGGAATAAAGAGAAACCTCCATGAAAGCAGACATTCACAGACTCTGCACTTCAGTGTTAGACGCAGAAGCCTGGCCTCGGCTGAGGACGATTTTCATTTAGTCAATGACCATCCACAATTTCTGAAGACAAATCTGGGGTGTATCCTTGAATACCTAAGTTTATATACATCTGTCCATATCTCATATCTCTGACATTAAATACAATTATCACGTACCTTTTAGATGCATCTTACTTTATTTTAGATATATTAGTTATAAAGGCCTTTGTGGTATTTGCATTTTTTTGTGAGAAAAGACAAAAATACAAATGTAAAGTTAGTATTAACTCATTATTATGAAGGATGATATGATGATAAAAGGGGAGGGGATGGAATCAGGGAAGGGTTCCTGTAGTTTTTTTTCAGGGAAATCTGAGACAATATAATTTGAACTGGAACATGAGTAAGCCAAGGGTATTGTAGAGACTCTCTAATTGGGACACGAGCATGCATTTCTGAAGTCTCTGGGTTTGGAAACATAAAATCTGTGATTGTGAAATGACCATGGCATTAGCGCAGGTGAACATGAGGGAGGAAACAGCTTCTAGAAGGGGAGGTGGCTGATTCAGCATCCTGGGAGGATGAAGGTGTTACCACAGCTGGTATTATGCTGAGAAAGATGCAGGTTTGGAGGAGAATCATAACTCTGGCTAGGGACCTGGAAGCCTGGAAGAGTTGTTAAACTGCTGAAATGCACAAGCCCATGGAAAGACACCACTGGCTCTGGAATCGAGGAGGGAATATATAAGTTGTCATCCATGAAATAAACATAGAACTGATAGAACTTGGTGAGTAGAAAGGAAAAATACACAGGATTTGCAAATGTTTAGAAGTCATAAGGTAACCCAGCTTAAAAGATTGAGAACCTGGGCCTGGTGCTTGCTCGAGGATCTCTGCATCTGCTTTCAACATTTCCTGGGTGAAGGTTATACAACAACAGTTAGGGTAGTCACTGATGATTACAGGAGAAGGCCAGTTCAGGCACCCTCTCCACTACTGCCAGGAGTCGTAGCTGGGTTTATCCTTGTGGATTCCTGGGGATCTCTCTAGCACCAGGTTTCTCCCTAAACCCATAATGGCTCCAATCCCCGTGGTGGGATGTCTTCTTCAGCCTTGATGCAGAAGGGAGGGGCTTGGTCGTGCCTCAACTTAATGCGCCAGGCTTTGTTTCCTGTCTATGGGAGGCCTTATCATTTCTGATGAGTGGATGAGGCATGAGTTGAGGAGAGGCAGAGGTGGGGGAGTGGCAAAAGGGAAGGGAGGAGAACTGTGATTTGGTATGTGAAAGGAATAAAAAATTAGAAAAAAACAATTGAGAAGTGTTATTGTTTTGCTGCAGCTGTGGCAGGCGATCAAACACAAACCACAAAACTCAACAAACCCACATGGAGTTTATTGGGAAAGGGAGCAAAGGGTAGGTGTTGGCCAACCAGGGACAGAGATGGAAGGGGGAAGGGAAGGGAAGAGAAAAGTCGTAAAGAGACATAGAGACAGAGAAAGAGAGGACAGGGAAGAAGAAGGAGACCAGACAAGTCAGGTTTTCCCTAGGGGAAGACTGGGTAAAAGAGGAGAGAGAGTGGAAAGAGAAGAGAGCAGAAAGAGATGAGAGGGCAGAAGAGACCATTAAGTGGGCAGAATCTTTCTCTTAAAGGGGTCCTTTGCATATCCATTGAAACCCTGGGCTGACCAGGGTACTGCCTGAATACATTCTGCCAGGTGACAGAGGCAGGCCTGCGTAATGCCTGAATCCTTATAAGAAGTAGGGACAGGGAGTGGCTGAAGTCAAGGGAAGGGTTTGAAGCAGAGGTTTTGGTGTAACAGATGCCTCTGGTAGGCAGAGGGTAAGAGAAACAGTGAATTCACCACCAAGGACCTGTCAAAGCAGAAATCACTGGTATTTCTAAGAAAAGTTGCTTAAATGGTTAAGTCAAAACAATGACCCAGGCTAGAGTTGTTCAAAGAAATGCAATATCTAGCGATTCCTTTGTTACTATGTAAGATACAAGTAAATGTTGAAGATATGAGTGCCAACAGCTCACTTAGGAGTAAGGCCTGTGGTATCTGTGTTAAAGACATCTGCTGCCAGTGAGAATGAAGGTGCATTCAGACAAAGCAGAAGGAGACAGGCTTCCTTAGTGAGACCAGTGCTTTAGGTTGGCAACCACTTACCACAGTCTGGTGTTGTATGCAAAGAATGAAAGGTCATAGCTGGTGGAAAGTTGGGGATAAAAAGGTTATGTTTGTGGTGTGAAGACAAGGAGACAGCTGAGCTCTTACACAGAATTAACATGATGACGTTTACTTCATAAGTTTTCTCAATTAAATTAAAAAAGAGAATTACTTACCTAAGAAATACATCATCTAAAAGATGATGACAAATGTCAAATATGTAACTAATGTGAAGAAACATTTGATTAATCTTAAGGGGCAGAGATCTTTTCAATAGCATGATATGTTATCCATCCTGTTGCTCAGTAGGGTTCCAAAGTGTTGGGATGATCCTGGTAGCCACCCGGATGGCCCTGAGCCTGAAATACAGTACTTGACAAAGAGCAGGTCAAACTCTGCTCAAAAGTATCTTGCTTGCTATGCTTAACAACTTTTAATCATTCTCTCAGAAGTGGACTTTTAATATGAACACAGATTTTCAGAATCCAAACTTGAATAGATGCAGAC